GCATGATATTATGGCGGTACTGACGTCATGCGTAGAGTTAGTAGAGTTGGCGCGAAATAAATATCAGACTCATGTTGCAGCAGTTTGTGAGTCATTTATAGTGATTTATAAGATATTAAGCAGATATTTGTATTATATTATGTTGCAAACTTTGTTCTCTGCCAGTGGTTTTAGTGAAAAACATTGAAAAATTGAGGTACGGATGTAACAGTGACAATTAAAGAAAAGAATTATGGTTTTTCGCTTTTCTCGACAGTAAGAGCTTAGTATAAGTGCATTTTGGGGTCGGAAAATTTTTCTAAAGAGGAAAATCGAATTTTCCATGTGTTATCCATAGCAGCCACTCATAAATTTTCTTTTATTCTACTCAACATCGATCTACTTTTCAACCCTCTTCGAGGCTTGTATGCGAAAATGGGGCACCTAAATCGGTCACTATCTGACGGTCTACATCTACTTGGTATTGAACCAACCAACATACAAGATTTTAGTGATGTATAGTCTGCAGAATAGACTCAAGTGGCTTGGTTCTTTAATACAGAATAGTTATTGGTCCATGGAATAGATCCAAGTGAGTTGGTTCTTTTCTGCCAAATGACTGATTGAAATTGACGTGTCCACGTGTTTGGTTCTTGTAATTTTTTATGTGTTTTTTAAGGTTTATTTTGAGTTTTAAAGTGTGTGCACTGTGTAGTGACAACATTTGCAGCACCTTGCAGTTATGTATAGATCTAGTAGGGCAAAATGTATCTTAGAAATGACAAAATCTGGTAATAGCAAGGTAAACAGTTGAAATTACTTTTTTTAGGTTAGGTAATTCAAAAACAATATAGTAATAAATATCTTCTTAGGAAGCGAACAAGTAAAAATCTTATGTGTCCTTATACGGATCCATTTTGTTCAATTATTATTTATTTTTTGTGTAAGATTTTGGGAAAAAATTGGTTGGTTCCTTTCTGCAGTTTAATGAAGCTATTATTTTACCGATTTTTTTATAGGGTGAATCGGGAGCCCTATCTGATACGCAGAAAAATACGGTTGTCAAAGAAGAGGTTCCTATTGCAATTATTTCGGAATTTACGAGCGATTCTGAAGAATATCAGAAGAGCGAACCACAAAAATGGAAATGGATAAGACTTGTGCCAATACTAGCGCGGTAATTTTAATTGAATTTTTACAAAAGTTCATTTTTTCTGTATATCAAGTGATATTTTTATAGGTTGTTGTATCCAATATGGAGCAGACTAGATTTCCCATCACAGCTGATTGTGAATCTATCAATGAACCGAATGACTATGGTCCAGTTGGACAATCTGACGTGGTTCCTTTTGCAAAATTTATTAGTGATTCTGAAGAATATCATATTTGCGAAACCCAATCAGAAAACGATAAAACTTGTGATTCAGATGATGAAATTAAATTGGTTCCTGTCGCAGTTAGTTCTGAATTATTAATAAGTGATTTTGAAGAATCTCACAAGTGCGAAACTCAAAGGGAACTGGAGAAAATTGCAGGAACTAGCCTGGTAAATTTATTACTGCAGACAAAATCTTTACATAGTCATTTTTGCAGGTTGTTATGTCAGATGTTCAGGAGACTGGGATACATCCTGTTATAAACGATACTGAATATATTAGTGACTCCGATGGGTATGATTCTGATCGAGATCCTGAATACGAAGTTTCTCCTAGATCCAATACGCCTTCTACTTCAGAGTCAGAGGCACGGCATGAGTCTGAGTTAGAAGAACCAGAACATAACGGAATTAGTTTAGATATTCCAAAAGGAATAGTACTTGAATACATTTGATGAAACTTTTAAATGTAAATGTTACAAAAAATGTCATACAAAAGTAAGCACGGATGAAAGAAAGAGAGAATTCATTACATATTGGGAATTGGGTAGCTATGACGCCCAAACCGCCTTACTAGGAGCGTTGGTTAGTGAGGAACCTAAGAAAAGAAAGTATGGACAAAATATAAGGTCAAGACAATTTTCAACACACTACAAGCTGAATAAAACCGATGTGTGCCGCGAGACTTTTATAAAGATCTTAGGCGTTTCAACAAAAAGGGTCGACACAGCTTTGAAAAAATTAAGAAATAGTAGTATTACTAAATAATAGAATACATAAATGCAATACCAAAGTACAAAAGTAATTATAGAAGGGGGGAAAATCCTGATATTTAATTATTGCTGCCAAAATTGACACTTCCGTTAATGTATAAAAAATACAAAGCGGATGCTGAGAATCCTGTAAGTTTCGTTTCTTATAGACGATTTTTTTTTTTCGAATTTAATTTAAAATTCAACCCTTTAAAAAAAGATACTTGTAATACATTTGACACATTGAATGCACATATTAATAATACTTCAGATACTAAACAAAAGGAACACGAACTACATATAAAAAAATGGCAAAATGCAAGAGAAAAGATGAACGAAGATATGTTGAAGGCAAAAAATACTTTACCCCTACCCATATTACCGACAGGTATTTTATTTTATAAAAGGCAGTTATGGCTTTACAATTTGGGAGTACACAGTGAGTCGAACAATAAAGGATACTTTTATATTTGGTTGGAAAATGAAGCAGGGCGGGGAGCCCAAGAAATTGGCTCCTGTTTATTCAAGCATGTTATTGAAAAAGTTCCCTCTAATGTTAGAGAGTTAATTCTTTGGTCCGACTCTTGCGGAGGCCAAAACTGCGATATTAAGATGACTTTAGTAATAAAGACTCTACTAGAGTCTCATCCATCTCTTCAAAAAGTTTCCATGCGATTTCTCGTTTCAGGCCACAGCTTCTTACCTAACGATTCCGATTTCTCCGATGTGGAATGCACTTTAAAACATCAGCAGCGATTTTATCTTCCTGATGATTATATTCGTGTAATGGAAGAGTGTCGCACAAAAAATAAATATGAAGTTACACACATGAAATCAACAGAATTTTTTATAACCGCAGAAATTGAGAAACAAATCAATAATCGAAAACTGATATTAACAAACAAAAGGTTAGCTGGCTGCCCGAGAAGTTTTTGTTGACAAAAGCAAACCCTATTCAATATGTTTTAAAGAAACTTTTGAGGATGAGCCGTACATTGAAATAGACAGTTGGAAGACCTAACAGAAAATCCTTCAAAGATATGTTTTTACCCATGTGGCCAGATGGTAAAGAAATCTCGGCTCGAAAACTGAAAGATTAAAAACCGATCATGCATCTTATACCCCAGGACTGCAAATATTTTTACAGAAACCTACAAAGTAGGAATTAGATGACGACAGTAGATCTCCTGATTTTGATTTATTTTAAAAAAGTGTTATATAAGTTTTCAAAGTTTGTATAAAATATATGTGTTAGTTTTCAATAATACTGATATTTACCTAAACATCAGTTTCATTAATTTGCAAAAAGGAACCAACCAACATGAATCTAATTATTTTTGCCAAAATAATCTTCTAATATAAAAAGTCACACATGAATAAGTAAATGAAATATATCTATAAACGTATGTAATTCTATAATGCATCTAAATAGAGTGTAGAATTTTGAATGTATGAAAATGTTTGTCCATTATTTTTATCAATATGTAAATTAATGGGTTGGTTTCTTTCTGCAGAAAGCCGTTCATTTCATGTAATTACTAAAATATTATCCTTAATATTCATCCCCCGCAGACTTTCAATGGAAATTGGGTTTCATCGAAATTGTCCTATTTTTTGCAGGGAGCTATCTTTTGACATCCTGAACAAAAGTCCTTATAGGTGGAACAAAATCCTATGTAAGCATTTTGAGTTATTTGCGAAAGAAGGTCTCGATTTTGACGAACCTCAAAAATCGTAAACACAGGGAAACAACACATACAAAGAGGTTAGGGTCTTTATTTTTTAAAAGTCTTGGACCAAGAAGTTATTCCAAAATGATTAGTAGCCATTGATGGAGACGCTGTGTATGAGTGCCCGTCAATAGGCAACTCACAGGATGGTCCTGAACACTTTCGGCAAAAAATTGACCTTTTAACCAAACTTTTCTGAGCTTGATTTCCTGGATGAGTCGCCTCCAGATTAGTTGGACTTACCGAGGCCTTGATGGGCATGAGTGAGTTCAACTTTTCCGGAGGCGACTCATCCAGGAAATCAAGCTCAGAAAAGTTTGGTTAAAAGGTCAATTTTTTGCCGAAAGTGTTCAGGACCATCCTGTGAGTTGCCTAATGATGGGCACTCATACACAGCGTCTCCATCAATGACTGCAAATCATTCTGGAATAACTTCTTGGTCCAAGACTTTGAAAAAATAAAGACTCTAACCTCTTTGTATGTGTTGTTTCCCGGTGTTTACGATTTTTGAGGTTCGTCAAAATCGAGGCCTTCTTTTGCAAATAACTCAAAATCCTTACATAGGATTTTGTTCCACCCATAAGGACTTTTGGTCAGGATGTCAAAAGCTCGCTCCCTGCAAAAAATGGGACAATTTCGATGAAACCCAATTTCCATTGAAAGTCTGCGGGGTCCTCTCTGTAAGTAGCATATATTTTTTTCACACTTCGTCAGTATTTTTAAATTTGTACCTATACAAACTCTACGCGTGACACTGTTGATAATTTACCTTTTATTTTTTATACCATGCGTATTTACCGAAATTCGAATCCGGATTTGAACACTAAATTTCACGTAAATTATCTAGGTATATCCAGCAGATGTCAAAAGGACATTTTTTATTTCCCCGCAAGAAATATAAATTGTTTAATGTTATCTAGTTTTATTTGATAACATTATTCAACATTTTATCTAAATTTAAAATAAGGGTACTTTTCGCTTAAACCATTTTTTTTACTTCCCTCACCGATGGTTTTAAGTGAACCTGTAACTGTTATTGTTACGAAATCACCCTATAAGATGTAATTTATTTTTAATATTTATTATCATCCTGTAAAAAACAAGGAATGTTTACTAGTTACGGTTATTGATCGAATTTGTTTTTTTTGTCTTTCCAACCGAATAAAAAAGTTATATTGAAATTTCCGATTTTCTATTTCTTAGCCTTGATAATTTATCTAACGTTAAATTTTTGGCGACCGTGACAGGACATATTTCTTCTTAACGTGAGATACATAATGGACAAGGCAAAGAAAGCACGAAATGTATATCGAAAAAGCTTCATGGACCAATATGATAGAATCATTGATAAGATGTCCGAGGATAAATGTTCTTTACATGAGTTGAAGGCAATGGTCAAAGGTTTGAATACTAAACATGAAGAAATTGCTGTAATGGATAGAGAAATATTCGATTTTATGTTAGAAGATGACACATCAGAGTCAGATTTGAGTCGAGAACTGAGCATAGTGGATGAGTACATAGCCAAAAATAATTTGGTGAGCGAGAAGTTGACTTCAATGTCAGAAAATAGGGTGCTCGACAATCAGTCAGTCTCGCGAAATAATATTATAAGTAAATTTAGAATGCCTCGTCTAGAATTTAAAAAGTTTGGAGGTGAATTAAAGGATTGGTTGCAGTTTTGGGGTCTATTTAAAAAATTCCATGAAGATCCCACTATTGATAAAGAAGAAAAAATGTATTATTTGAGACAAAGTACACAAGAAGGCTCTAGAGCAAGAGTGATTGTTGATAGTTTCCCTTCTATTGCAGAAAATTATAATAAGGTAATAGAAGCCCTTAAACGTAGATTTGGTCAGGAAGAGTTATTAATTGAAGTTTATACAAGAGACGTTCTAACATTGGTGGTGTCCCGAAATGTATGCTTATCTACTTTGTATGATAGTCTGAAATGCCAGTTGAGATCCTTGGAATCTCTAGGGATAACATCAGAGAAATATTCTTCAATCTTATATCCTATGGTAGAATCATGTTTATCGGAGGAATTGTTACGAATTTGGCAAAGATCGATGACTACGCATTCTGATAGACCCAAAGATAAGTTGGATGATTTGTTGAATTTCATTAAAAAAGAAGTAGAAAATGAAGAGAAGATTACGTTAGCCATGGCAGGTATTGGAGTAACACCTAAAGGTGATAAGAAGAAGGTACCATTGAAGAAGGAAGATGTTGCGACTGCCACTGGGTTACTTACTACTAAGGTATCCACTTGCATCTTTTGTAATTTAAATGAACCGAATAAAAAAGTTATATTGAAATTTCCGATTTTCTATTTCTTATCTAACGTTAAAGTTATCAAGAAAATCAATAATAAAAAAGTTTTCTATGCATACAAACTTTTTGAGAAACACTGTACATTCATAATTTAGAAACAACAGTTTATTCTATCAAATAAATTAATAAGTTTCCCATTATTAAAATATATCGTAGCCAACAGGACAGGAAGACGTTCGTCAAAACTATTCTGAGCATACCAATCTAATACTAGGACTAGGAAATCAAGCATACGTTACTGATATGCGGTTTTTTTTATACACTCGTCGGATATGCTCGAAGAACTAAAAATAAACGCTAAAATCGGCGTACCCTCACTTCACTCGTTTACCTATATGCACGTTATGTCCCAAAGGTCTGGGATTATTAGACGGTCCAGCCTCGGCGTACAAACACGACGATTCACTACAAGAGCAAGTCGTATCGTGACTACTAGTACAAGAATGTCTATCAGTCTCACAATCGGCATCGTCGTTGTCCCAATTGTGCTGATTGAACCAAATTTTAGTATCACAACTGTGCGGTATATTATTGCAGTACCCGCCTCGACTCGTAGACCTATGACCCGAACTACCACTAGCTAAAGAACAGTGAGCATCACAGTTATTACAAGAACGAGCTCTGGCGTGTTGGAGTTTACCGCATTGCGATGGAACGTGGACTGAATAGCATCCGTATCCCCCAGCACTTCCACAAGTGCTACCGTTACCTCTCGGAGGAGGTACTGGGGGATTATCGCGAGGGCAATCCGGTGGAGGATGGTCTGGTGGTGGTGGAATAATTTCAGACCAATTCGGAGGCGGTAGAATCATTGTAGTCGCATAAGGAGTTGGACTTTCTAAATTCTTTTTACAATTATAGAACGTAGATAAATTCTTCGTATCGACTTCAGCGTAATCCGCAGGTTGGGCTAGAGGTATAGAAGAGTCTTTATCGCAATCCGTAGCTTTCCAACCACGATCTATCCATAGACTTTCTTTCGCGTTCAATTGCGATGCATTCACTACCGGAACGTTTAAATGTCCTAACTGTTTAGTTAAAGATTGTCTTCTTTTTAGATATAATAATCCTCCAGTAACTCCTAATAAAAGTAGTACTAGTACTGCTAAAAGAACAACGAACCAAGTTTGTCTAACTAACGGTACAAACGGTCCTAACGTTCTAGGACTCTGCGCTCTCGGCGACGTTAATAACGGTACAGGACTCGAGTAAGGACCTTGACCAGCAAGAGTAAGTGCAGCAACTTTCGCTGTATAACTCCCACCCGCTGTTAAATTACTAATTAAAATAGAAGTCGTTGTAGCGTTCATCGTCATCGATCTAATAACATTCCCCTTAATCTGTATTTTATAACCAGTAATAACTCCATTGCAATGTTGCGGTGGTGGCGGCGACCATCTAACCCAACCAGCGGTATCATTAAAAACCCCAGCAGTAATACTATCCGGAGGTGCAGACGGAACATCCTCTAAAGTCTGTGCTATTCTCGAATTCGACGGCTGTCCTTCTACAGATTTGTAAAACGGTGATATAAAAAATTCGTATTTGGTAAACTTCTTCAAGTTAGTCACAATGTAAGATTTCGCTTCGACATCTAAAACTGTCAATATATTGTAATTATGGGAACCACCGGAAAGCTCTCGGAATCGGATGTAATGACCTTCTACGTAATCGTTGTCGGAAAAATTCCAAATAAGTTTAACAGAACTGGAAGACTGAGATTTCGCTTCTTTTAACTCAATAAGCTTCGTACTTAATATAGCTCTAGCTGTATCTAATTCTGAACTCGGTAATGCTCTAGTATTCGCTAGCGTTCTAGAATTTTTAGAAACAGGACTAGCTGGAGACAATCCATGGGCATTCTCAGCTCTTACAATAAAAACGTAAGAACTATCAGGTTTCAACTCGTGGACTACCATGTAAGGCGTTTGTATCCTATGAGCTGCTATTACCCAACCAGTTTGTAAATCGGGACTCCAGTACTCAACGGTGTATCCAACTAATTTTGATTCGTCTTCTTCGCTGTCCCAGGATATACTTATGCTTGATTCGGTGCTGTTTAAGATTCTTGGAATACTAGGAGCTTTCGGAAACGTAGATGGATCTGGACTTCGATGTAACGGTATTGAGGTGCCTTTTACTACGTTTAGAGAGGCTGACCAGGAGCTTTCACCACTTTCTGAGGTAGCTGAGCATGTGTATAATCCTGAATCTTCTGATATTAAATCTGTAAAAAGGAAGACTGAGTTAGAAACTAAACACAATTAATTATGAATATAATATTCGGTAAAAAGGAAACATTTTATTGTAAAACTAGCGTTGTCCTGTCTTAAGTATGAATATTGATTTCGAATTCGTATAATTAACTAAAAAAATATTTCAGAAACCAATGTTTGTATTATTCTAATGCTTTATGATATACAACATTCTTTGTTTTTTTTTGGACAATAATAAACACAACAAAAAAAGAATTAGCGAAATCGGTCCAGCCGTTCACGCGTGATGCCATGACCAAGGGAAATAGGGATTAATTTTTATATATATAGAAATTTTTTAATTCTTCGCGCAATTTTCTTAATTTTTTCTTTCATAAAAACCTTCTCCTGACAAGAACAAACACAACAAAAAAAGAAATAGCGAAATTGGTCCAGCCGTTCACGCGTGACATCGACCAATGTTTTGTCATGGGTTAAATGGAGTGTTATTTGAAATTCATAGTTACTAAAAGTCTATAAATAAAAGCCTGAACAGCCAAACATTCAATTCTGCATTCTAGAGTTGATGGATGAGCAAATCGCACTATCCCCGCAATAGCTAATTCGTATTCTTGAAAGCTCTCGTCACGTTTCTGCTTGCGATTCTTCAACTGTAATCGGTACAAATGTTCCAAGTGTTCGTGGCCATATCATCGCATGTTTAAGTCTCTTTTTGAGTTAATCAAAAGCACCTGTCTTTTCCACAAGTCTTCTTGATGGGAGATGGTCAAATTTACTGCCTTGTTTTATATAGACCATTAGTTTGCTCTGGTAGCTGTTTCGAACATTTTAAAGTAATTGATCCATGACACCTCATAGAAGTTTATTCCACCGTCCTTGAACTGTTATTTTCTCCTCAATGAAAGACATTATTTCTTCCTCAACAAAAGTCATCTTATTTTCCATATCAGCAGAAATTTCATTTTTATGGAAGAGATATCAGAGGAGATATTAATTTCAGAAAACACCTTTTCTTCTTAGGAAGAAATGTCTGAAGAAACTTTAGTTTCTGGAGTTGATCTAATGGACATGATGATTAGCTTAAATAGAATTCCTCTAAAAATACACCATCATATGTAAGATTTTACATAAAAAATACTTATTAATATAAGCTTGGATATGCGTTTTGATAACCTAAGTAGGAATGGACTAAAAAAGTCAAATTAAGCAAAAATGATGTGCTCTGCAATATTTGCAACTGTCAAAAAATCCTCTTCTGCTGACTCGAAATATTGAAAAATTGATGACATAATAAAATATACCAGTGATTAATTAAGATAGAAAAAATACAAATGGATAAAAAATGAACTTTTCATTTCAAATGTGAATTCTGGTATTTAACGCTTCTCATAACAATGCAGATTCATAGAAAACTTCATTAGCTATCATGTAAATGTATCCAATTCATTTCATCTCTAATTATCAGGTTATTATTACGAATTCCCTCAGGTATTACTCAATTTTATATGTTTGAATGTATTCCATTCTTCCAATTGTTGTTATTTCCACTGATAATCAAAATTGAAAATGCACTGGAGAGTTGGAAGTTGTGGAATTCGTTTTCAACTGGGTATTGAATATTTCGAATTTCTGGATTTCGAATTGAGATTTCATATCAATACCAGATTTAATATTTTGGTATTGAATGCGAAATTAAATTCCAAATTTAATGATAACAGTAAATAGGTACCTATGTGGGATGATGAATTATTCTGATATCTATAATTAGATGTTGTAGTCATATTTTTTAAATGAAAAACTTTATCAGTTAGAAGTAATATACAAAATTTAGATGACACAAAAGGCCAGTTACCAAGGCGCACTCACCAACAAAGAAATTAGGTAATTAACTTAATAACTTTTAAAATAATAATAGTTATACAGAATAATCGACATTTTCTACTTTGGTACACATTCCTTCTTTGTTTATAGCACAAGTTTAACCAAATTTTAGGAGTGGTAAAGGTTTCATATGATTATCTTGTATATGCATATTTTTTTTTGATTTATTTTCACTTTCCCCCAATTACAATACTCCCAAAATTTAATTAAAAGTTTATAATTATGTAAATATTCTTCTATATATTTGTTTGTTTTGTGTTTATATTTGGGTATATCTTGTGACATTGTATATTATTTGATTTTTTGACTAAACTAAGGATTTATATTTATATATACAGAATGTCTGAAAAAGTTGGTAACAAATGGGAAATTTATTTATTTATTTTTAATTACACAAATAATATTCTTCATAAAAAGTTCTGTATGATAGAAATTATTAATGAAGAAATATATTTGTACAATATTTATTTTTTTATTACTTTAAATGTATTAAATAATTACTGTAAGACTATTAGTATAAATTTGAACATAATTTTTAATTCTTATCCACATTTTCATATGGCATTTTGTTTTGTAATTTTACCCTTTAGCATAAATCAATATATTTTTTTTTATTACCACTAAATATTTTAAAAATTTGATTATTGATTTGTATGTGATGCATAATTTTTTATGTATTAAATGATGGGAGTACAGGGAACACTTTTCAATATTTCCTAAGCTGGCTTACCTCTAGCTCTAGATAATGATAATTTGAGACTAAATTTTTGTTGAATAATACTCATTTGTGTTTTAAGAAATTCGTGCAGGCTTCATTAGTTTTGTATCTTGTAATAATGCAGAATTTAGTTTGTTTTGTTGCCGTGGGGCAACAGTATGCATAAAAAGAATAATTTATATTTTAGGTTCAATATTATGGCAAATAAAAAGCGACCAGTCACTGAAGAGAATATCGTTTAGTTCTGGGAAGAATTCATCGGCCTAAAGAGTGAAGATGAAGGCGAATTCAATGATACGGACAGTTTGATGTTACCCGACCCTGAAGAAACTGTAGAAAGCAAGCACGACACAGAATAAGATTCAGAAGAGATAGAAGAAGAAGAGCCCATTGTTGAACCAATAAAAAAAAGTCAAAAACAATGAAACTAAAAGAAAAAGCTGCTTCTCTCATTTCACGGAAATTCTGAAGTGAATGCGGATGTATCTCAGCTTGCAACCCCTTATCAATTCTTCAAATATTGTAAAAAAATCCTCGAAGAAAATAATTTACATGCAGTTCAGTCTAAACCTGATAGGCCGAAAGTTTTTTTTGAACAAAAAATAAGTCAATTTATTGGAATGCTACTGTATATGTCCTTGGCTCGCTTGCCTTCTGTTCGGTCTTTATGGATTCTAAAATGTAATGCCTGTAAACAAAATCCTTCATTTTAATGATAACACTAAGTTTATTCCCCGTGGTCAACCAGGACACAACAGGTTACATAAATTCCTTAATGAGAAGTATTCTTCTATTAGAATGGAACCACACCTAAGCTTGGATGAGGAAATGTGCTCAACAAAAGTGCGCCATTACATGAAGCAGTACCTGCCCATGAAGCCCCATAAGTGGGGATTCAAAATTTTTGTTTTAGCAGGAGCTTCAGGATATGCCTACAGGTTTGAAGTATATACCGGCCAGGAGAATGAGGAATATTTAGGAGTTACAGTTCAGATTATCGCAAGATATTCCTCGTAAACAAAATTACCAGCTCTACCATGATAATTATTACACCAGCATACCACTAATGACTCACCTTGCTAAAGAAGGTATTTATTATCGAAGAAACCGTATTTCCAATTGCAAATTACCTACTAAACAAACAAAGTGGTACCAAGCTGATTTCCGTTGGGAAATTGCAGAAGTTTTAACAAGAATTGGTATAACATCGTCTTCTAAACAGGGTAGACCAAACAATATGGAATTTCCAAGTTGTAAAAAACCGAAAAAGGAGGACCTACTCAGCATATACCTCAAATGGAAGTAAGATTAGATCAAATGGCATATTTGCCAGTAATCAAAATTGTCAAAATGAGGTGCAAATTCCCTTTATGCAAAGGATTTACATATACAAAATGTGACAAGTGCAGTGTGGCTTTATGTTTAACTAAAACAAACATTTGTTTTAAAGAATTTCATACTACTTCATACTAATAAAAACGTTCTGTTAACTAAATAATACAAATAACTGTTCCAATTCATTTTATAAAAAATACACCGGGTGCTCAAATTAAAGTGTTACAACTAAATACCGCCTATTATAAAAAAAACGTTTCAGACGAAAGTTTTATAGTTTTGTGGGGAAAAATTTTTGGCTAAAATCGTTTTTTTCAGCTAATCATAATATGACATAATATGGCCAAGAGCAAAATTTTCAAGTAGCTGTTACTCAAAAAATAAAAGTCGAATAAAAGAAATAATTCCATCAAAAGTTTCTTATTTTTTTATGTACTTTAAGAATATGTAAAAAAAATGGTGGTCCCATTTAAAAAAACAAAGTCCACCTCGATATGGCCATATTATGATCAGCTAAAAAAAAAAATGAATTTAGCCAAAATTTTTTTTCTAAAATGCATATTTTCGGCGATATTTAACTGTAACACTTTAATTTGAACACCCGGTATAAATATATACAATTGTTTATTATCCATAATATATCAAAATCTCCTAAATATTTCACATTATGCTATCGAAAAAAGATTCTATTTATGCATACTGTTGATTTTTAGCAACATACAAAAATCCATTAAAAAAACTATCAATTTAAAAATGTTTAAAATATTTTCTACTATTATAGAACATGAAAAGGCATCGAAAATAGTTTTTTTGGATCAAAATTAAAAAAATCATGTATTTAAGGGTTACATTTACTGTTGCTATGCGAGCAAAGCCGTCTTTAAATATTTTTAAATTCGGTGCTGAATGAATTATAAAATATATTGTTTGATGCCTGCCGTTAAATAAAAGTTTCGCCACCCATGTTTCATGTTTTTTTTGTTATTGTTGATTGTCAATAATTTTACTAATGTCACGTCATGTTTTGGATAATATAGTAAAGTATAATATCCTCACAGAATGAATCTTCTGAAGCTG